TGTACTTTTGTACAGCTAATATGAAGGGTTTATGGGAGGCCAAACTGAGAGATGGAGACTGGGAAGGACCAGCCATGGTGAGGGCGCAGGGGGTTCTGACATTGCAAAATGATGTATTCTACAAATGTGTTGGTCTGTGAGCATAGGCTGGACGAACCTGGGTGGGGGCCATGAAGACAATGCCCTGGGACTCCTGAAGAGTGACTCCTGGGATGCTTACAAGGGTGAGGTGAAACAAGCAATGAGTTCAATTTTGGAAATGTAGTTTGCATTTCCTTTAGTTTCTCCATGGGTCTCAGGACAGAGGTCTGGGTTAGGTATGGATTTGGTCATTATTTTGAACTGCTGGGTATGAATTAGATCAGCTCATGATTGTAGACTAAGTAGGTATGAAAATAGAAGAAAAATAAACAGATAAGTCTTTAGACCATGGGAGAGGTGGAAGGGAAAACAGATACATGAGCCGAAGGGGAGTTCCCAGAGAGGCTAATAGTGCCAGATACTGTAGGGTTGTGAGAGCTAAGTTTAGTGAAGAGGGGCTGGAGGGCATATAGCAAAATTCTGACTGCTGGATTGGATGAGAGTTGTTTGGGTGGAGTGATGGGATGGAATCTCTCACCATTTCTGGAATCCTAATTGAGAGGTTTCCTTGGCTGTAATAACATGGAAACACAAAATATTACATCCTCGGCCTGTCATAGCTGAGATGAGAGTATGTGATCCACACATTATCTTTTCTTTTGACACTTTTGACACTTTGTTGGAGTTGATCCCAAAAGAGCCTGGGTGGTCCTTATTTGACACTAGTCTGTAATATTGGGGAGAGTAGAGAAGCAAATAAATTGAATGCAGAGAGGGGCTAGGGAGATATTTAGCCACTACAGTGCTTGCAAGGCCTTGCAGGTGTGAGGATCTGAGTTTGATTTACGTATCCCATGTTTTTAGAAATGATGAGTTGGGGACTGGAGAGATGGTTTAGTGGTTAAGACTGCTTGCTGTTCTTCCAGAGGACCTGAATTCTGTTCCTAGCATACACCACAAGCAACTAACAACCACCTGTAACTCCAGCTACAGGGGATCTGACACCCTCTTCTGGTCTCTTGGGGCACATGCACATATGGAGTGTACTGCCCCCCACCCCTGACTCCCCCCAAAACCATGTGTGGTGGTGGTAACACACTTGTAATCTTGGTGCTGGGAACACAGGGGCAGGCATGGCTCTGGGGTTTACTGGCCAGCTAGCCTAGCTACATTTGGTGAGTTCTAGGTCAGTAAAAACCTGACTGAAAAACACTGTGGATTGCCTAACACGTGCTTGTCTGACCTTGTCTTGGTCACTAGGAGGTCAGATGCCTGCCTCGTGGCAAGGAACCAATCAGAAGTTAGCTGGTGGTGTTATGCTTTATGGCTCTGGGTGTGCTTTATGGACAAGTGCACAGCAATGACACGAAGAGCATAGCAACCACCTTGGGAGGGCCTATGGGCCATAACAACCAGTTGACAATCAACACAGGGCAAGCCCTCCAAGCCTGGAGGCACACCAATCCTGAACCTGTGGGTACCCCTAGACACTCCCCTTATGCTGCCCTATAAGATCTCTATGCAGACGCTTCGAGCCGTCTTTCCTAACCATACACCTTGGTGGGTGGATGAAAGACCCGAGCTAACATGGGGTTAGCAACATGGGGTTAGCTAACATGGGTTTAACAACTACAATAAAACCTCATGCTGTTTGCATCAAAAAAAAAAAGAAGAAGAAGAAGAAGAAAAAAAGAAAAAACACTGTGGGCAGAGCCTGATCAACCTCTAGCTTCCACACTCAAGTGCATATATGTGCTCTTGTGCCCTCATAACATGTTTACTTGTGTACATAGTGAACATACACTGTGGGCAGGCACACACATGTACACACATACTCGCACGCACACACACACACATCCACACACACATCCATACTTGCACACACACATGCATACACACACACACGCACACACACACATTCACACACACTTGGGCACAGATACATACACACATGAATACACACACACTCACATATGCATAAACACACACATAGACACACATGCATATATACTCATGCACACACAGACACAACACACACACACACACACACACACACACACACACACACACACACACAGCAGGAAAGGGGAGAAAGACAAGTTTGTAAGACTAAGCTGCAGAGTTCTGAATGAGCACAGTTTTTCTTTTTCTGTGCCCTTCATTTAAGCTGCTCTTGCAGGGTAAGAACCTCACACCCTCGGCTATCACTGCTGAACTGTGTGGTGCAGACAGCTACTTGCTACTCTGTACCCTCTGTCGTCTCCTCACTTTCTGCACATGTCCACATGTATATTTCCTGCTATGGAGAGGAAAGAGAAGTTAATCATGAGGCAGGAATCTTAACCTCTTTGTACCCCTCTATCCTTTATAAGTCCTGTATTCCCTCCATCTTGGAAAATGAGATGTCTCTCCTCTCCATACCTTCTTCCAGCCTTACTTTCTTATCTTCTAATTTGTCTTCAAACTATGGTTTCCCTAACATTGTCCTCATTCTAGAACTTTTCTTAGATGATCTCATTCACCCTCACAGCTTTAAAACTTGCTAACAAGTCCCTGCCTGCCAGTTCTCCATGGAAAGTCTAAACTCTTCTCGTGAGTTCTTTCTACTTTCTGAATATCTTCAGTTGGCTGGCTCCTTGGAACCTTCAAAGGTTACTGGTTAACCTACCTTTCATTCTCCAAATCCATTCCACTGTGTTCGATCTAGCACCGATTAGCGAAACCTGTTCAAATGCTTAGCCAGGGAGAAACACCCACTTTCTCCCTCACTGGTTACTGGACTCTTCTACCCCAGTATTTCTCCATGCACCATGTGACACCTCTCTGTCACGGTCTAGTCAACACACCATTTCTTGTCTGTCTCACTCAGCCTGTTTCTTAGCCAGCCTGCCTGCCAGCATTGCCACAGGTCTGATTATGTTTCTTGTCTGGTTGAAATTTTCCAGTGCCTAACCATTTCATTTGGAATTAAGTGATTCAGCCTGGCCCTTGGCCTGCAGTGATCTGCTCTATAGTGCTCTTCCACCTTGGGTCTTACAAGCTTTTCACATGCATCCTGGAGCCTGCCATACTCCTGGACTTCTTGTAGGTCCAGGAGGCCAGTGTCATCAGGCAGGCACTTCTTGAGCTCCTCCCTGTTCCTCCTCCGGTTATGCCTAACTTGTGTGTCTGCCTGACACACATCTTCTCTCTTGTTATGTGCACTTTTTAGCGTAGAGTTGCACATTCCTCATCCTTGTGCTTTAGGTGCCCCCTCTTTTTGTTGTTTCCTGTTTTAATCTCAGGATTAATTTAGGATTAACCTTTCTCCTAAAGCCGTTGGCTTTTCAGAGCATCAAAGGCTGTGTAACCCAGTTGTTGTGAATTTAGATGATGTACAACTAGAATCTCATTATTCTGATGGAATAATTATTGCAGGTATAAAAAAGAGAGCACATTCACACTTATATAGAATTCAGTGGAATAAGTGTGAGATATTTCACATCAAAAGACCCATCACCTGCACCGTCTACGAACAAATATTGCTGTGATGTTCTTTTTCCTGTTTTCAGCAAAATTCATTTCTTCACTTTGAAGTACTTTATTTTGAGAGATTTATGCACACACACACACACACACACACACACACACACACACACACAGCTTTCTACAAGAATTGTAGCTATTTTTTTTAAAAGATAACAGGGAAGAGTTCAATATGACTGTAGTATGGAGAATGCATTAAAATGAGGACTTTTAAGAGAAATTCAGGAATGATTAAATCTTTAGGTAAATCTATTTCTTGTATATTTTCATTTTTTAGTGGATAGGACCCCAACAGAGCATAGCTAAATACAAATGCTATAAATTTCAGGGCATTTTTTTTGGTGGTTCTGGAGATGGATGCCAGGGCCACACATGCATTAATAAAACAACATTTCTTTGTAGCTACAACTTACTGTCATTCTTTGTTTTTTTTCTAATAATTGTTTTTACATTTCTGACTTTTAAGAGACCATATCAACCCACATCAGGGATAGAGATGATGATCAATACAATTTTTTTAATATGAAGAAAAATTAAAATATTTCATGTGTATACTCTCACAGCTGTATTCTTCTCAGAAGGAACCCTTTACTTTATATTTAATAACTTTGTTAGTTATAAAAAACACCTTTTAGATTGTACATGTTTCTAAATCAAGTAAGGAAAAGCATAGGCATTGTAGCTGATAGGTTGCTTTACTGTTTACATGTGCCCTGTGGGAACACTGTGCATTTGCCACAAGTGCCACCGGTGGGAAAAGTGACTCCACAGTTTCTTGGATGAATGCTTAAAATCCTTGGAAACAACCTGAGGAAGAGAGTTGGTTTTCTGGAGAGCAAATAACTTACATATTCACAGCATATAATTTATGACATATAGACATAGAGAGGTATACCTTCTCCCTAACCTTTGTCCAAAAGACAAAAAAGTGTCTTAAAAAACAACCTAACCCTTTTCATCATGAAATGTGAAACACACGCACTATACAAAACAGAAACACAGAACTTAGCACCAAGCAGCTGCCGGAGGAGCCATCCTTAAGCTCCAGAAGGGAATGATGCTCTCTCCCTGCTTTCTACCGCCACTGCATGCAACCTAGAGCACTTGCCAGCTCAGCCGAAAAGCTACAGTTTGTTTCTGTGAGACAGCATAAGATAAAGAGCAGAGGAGTCTGAGGGCAGGTGCCTGGGAAGACTTGGTTAAACAGGAACATGGGATTCCATCGTTCTCTCAAAGTTTGTAAGTCTAGACGCCCACCAGAGCCGTTGCGGTAACACCCGTTGCTCAGGCTAAACACTGCAATTATTTTTCAGTTCTGAACGATGCTTTTGAAAGTGACTGCAGAGCTCCCCGTCTCTGATGCACGGTAGTAACTTGTTTCCACACAATTCCAGGACATTAGCTTATTGCCAGTGGGTGGACAATGTCAATGAGACCCGGAAGATGCTGTCTCTTAGTGGTGGTCCCTTCAGTAACCTGCTCAGGTGGGTCGTGTGCCACGTAACAAAAGGAATTGTGAAGCGGGAGATGCACGGCCACGGCATTGGCCGCTTCTCGGAGGAAGAGATTTACATGCTGATGGAGAAGGACATGCGGTCCTTAGCAGGGCTTTTGGGTAATGTATCACACCTTCTATATTTTCTGTGCTTACTGTTGCATGACAAATAAAGTGCTGCTGGTTTGCAAGCTTAACTTGGTTGGTTGGGGTTTTTGCTCCTGCATGTAGGTGTTGCTGTTGGTTTTCTGTCCCAGCTGGCCCTGCCAACCTTGGGCCCCAAAGACACTATATTAATTATAAAGCTGTTGGCTGATGACTAGGGCTTTTTATTGGCTAGCTCTGTCTTAATTACTACCCCTTTTCTATTAATCTAAGTATTTCCACATGGTCTTATCTTACCGGAGAAGAGTCCAGACCTGTTACTCCTTACATGGTGCCTGTTTTGGCAGGCCCTCTCTGCCTACCTTTCCCAGAATTCTCCTTGTCTCCTCCTCCCTCCTATCTTCCATTGGCCAGACAGTGTTTTATTCATCAACCAATAAGAGAAACATATACAGAAGGACATTCCCCCCATCATGTCCTCTAGTTTCCAGGGTAACCTCTGGTATTAGGTTTTAGTGTAGTTACAGAACACGTGGAGCACACTTCAGCATCAGGACCTGGCATTTCCCAATGTGCTGTGAGGATAGGGTAATTCTGAACCAGGAACCTCTTCTATTTATAAATGGCTCAGGCTGGTTGTGAGCACATCTGCCAGTATAGTTAGACTTGGTGATAGCCCAGCTTCTGCCTCTCTTTATATATGTTTTGTGTGTGTGTGTGTGTGTGTGTGTGTGTGTGTGTGTGTGTGTGTGTGTGTGCTGGCACTTGCCATCTTCTTATACCTTTCTTTTGGTGTGTATCCTTAGTTTTTTTCCTTCTAGTGTGTTTTATCCCAGATTTTGCATTTATTGCACACTGTAGGTTAAGTTGTGTCTGGGAGCTCTTTAGAGACATAGCATCTTAAATGTCCATGGGCTATCGAGGATGGACTTATTCTATTTACTGGCTGGGGCGAGGGAGA